GGAGTTTGTTCAAAGGATAAAGGAACTGTGAATCTGGTTACTAAAGAAGACGATAGAATCAAATGTTGCAATAGTCTCATTTGGCATTTCTGATGAGAAAGGATAGAGCATAATGGAGAGAAGTGAATAAACTGGATTGATCTATGAAAAGGAGAAATGCTTGTTGGATTTAATGGTCTTTTCCTCTCGCTGAAAAGTGAATCACATCACTACCAAGTGGCACATCCTTCTTCGGGCGAGTTCTTTTCAAAATTTCTTTACTTTTGGTTAGGGTACAAGAATATATTTATTGCTTGTTGTGTGATTACTCTGAGTTCTACCTTTCAATTTCTCTCAATCCTTTGCTGGCCTTTCTATTTTATTGACACTATCCAATTCTATCACTGCCATCCTTTAGTTTCTTGTATACTGTAGAGATCTACATTTTTTCTTTTTTCCCTGCACCCAGTGTCCCTATTACTTGAAAGTACCTCTGAGTCAATTATTTTTCCAAGCTCCTTGGGACAGATTTTTTCATTTGCCTGAGGTGATGGGACCAGGTGAGGCCGAAATTTTGGATCCTCCAAGCATTGTGGCAGCTTTCTGTCCAGCCTGTTAGTGATTTTGTATACCAAGCACAACATGGCTGGCAGTTCAGCAACTGGTTGTGCAGACGCTCCACTGGGGAACTTGCAAAAGGGAAGGAAATGATTTTGACATGTTGCCTACAAAGAGTTGCAAACATATCCCTGTGTAGGAGGTGCCATCGCATCAGGGAACCAGTCATGGTGGTAGTTCTAGTTAATACTGCTGCATAAAAGAGGACAGGCTCAATGAACGGCTTAGATAGAGACTGGTGGGTAGTTCAGAGTTTGTATAGAGGTGGCTTGGTGGGCAGTACATCAATTGTGGGAAAACTGATGCCCAGGAGCTAGTAAGTTGTAGCAACTGGGTCCGAAGCAGCTGTGATAAGCGCTTCTGGACTGCCACCTGCACGCATGAAATTGATTTCTCCAGAGGTGGAGGCGAGCAGCAATAAAAAGCAGCAGCAACCAAAACAGATGCATTGGTCCTGAAGTAGAGTAGAGGTGATGGGCGGAGAGGGAAAGATGGTGATACCCTTCATGTAGCGTGCCTGATTAACTAACGAGCCTTCCAAATTTGCCATCATGAGCATCGCCAAAGCACACAAGGGAGACGGTAGCAGAATTTGGTAAAGGACCACTTCAGTCTTGTCAGTTGCATTGGCACACCCTGCCAGTAATCAATCAAGTCAAAGTGGTACTGAACATTTTTGCCCTTGGTTCTTTTCAAGCAGTGGCAATGCAGTTCTCTGGCATCTCTCAGTCAGCTGTCCAACACGACAGACAGAGATGATGGACGATCTGCCTGAGAGGGCATTGCATTCATCATTGATGGAGCCACACGGGATTTGCCTGCGTGGCTGGGCTCCCGCAGTCCAGGGAATTGCTGATGGTGCCCGTGCTGCCATCAACGCACTGGCAGAGCAGCCTCTGGAATGGGATGCTATTCTCAGTGTTCAGTTGGTATGTGACTACCAGCAGCATTTTCTCGAGGTCTGTACAAATGATCTGGGCATTTTTTTACATTCATTCATGAGATGTGAGTGTCACTGGCCAGGCCAGCATTTATTGCCCATCCCTAATTGCATTAAGTGTCGACCATGTTGCTGTAGGTGTGGAGTCACATGTAGACCAGATCAAGCGAGGAAGTCAGATTTCCTTCCCTAAAGGCGTTAGTGAACCAGATGGATTTTTACTGACAATTGGCGATGATTTCATGGTCATCATTAAAATCCCAATTCCAGATATTTATTGAATTCAAATTCCACCATCTGCCATGGCAGGATTTGAACCTAGGTCTCCAGAACATTGCCAGGGTTTCTGGATTAGTAGTCTAGCAATAATACTGCTAGGCCATCACCTCCCAACCTACCATGCCTTCTTGATCCTTAGACAATCACAGGCTGATCTGGCCTCAGCTAAGACCTTGTGGATGGCTGCTAGGGTTAAGACCTATCCATTGAAGAAGTGACCACTGTCACATGTACACAATCCTTCAGTGGAG